TTGGCATAGATTTTGGTTTATTGATACAAATTTAAAGTTAATTTTATTATACTGTATGTATATTTCTACTCTTGTTTAAAGTATTGTGTTTATACAACTCATTTAAAAAATATAATATATAACTAAGAAACACAGATTAATAGTCATCTATAATAGCAAAACTTACAGTCATGTTAGCTATGTTTTCAAGGTCATACACAAATATATTTAGATAGATAGATGGTCTTCAAATACTTCAAAGACCTACAGACTATGCTACTTAATATATTTAATAACATAGGACTTTTTATGAAAGTGAGACACATCTGCTCCTGGTAACACCAATCTACTTCAGAAAAAATAATGGGCATCAAAGAAACTCCATATGAAGTCTATTTTCCTAATGGCAAAAGCTAGCCATGTGGGCAAAGAAACTACCCTTGCCTCAATTGCTGGCAATACACTATTCAAACTGGACTAGCAGGACACAAGAAAACTGACTGCCAAACTTTGCCAAGGTAAGACAGTCCTTCAGAATTCGTTGCTTCACAGGAACGTCTGTCAGAAATGCTAGGTGTACAGGCCAGAGTTGGATGCCCCGATGTTACAGAGGAACTTTGGGTGACTATCTAGGCAGCTTGATGTCCCTGTCATTAGGTGACATTTCATCCTTCTGGGGTCCTTGATGGAGTTAAAGACTAAATAGTTAAACTTATAGTTTTCTTTAGTCATGATAAAAAACAAATTAGGTGTAAAACTTTATAGATTCATCAAGACAAGACAGGTAATAGAGTATTTTCTCTAATTGTGCCAAATACAAATAGACTGGATACAGCAAATGTAATTCTCACTTGAGAACTGTTTTTGTTGTATATAATTTTCCTGTGTTAAAGTTAAAACCTTCCTTTCTAATTAGACAAAAAGGGAGAAGTGCTGTGGAATAATCCTTCTGTACACTGTGTGAATATATGTTGCTATGATTGGTTTAACAAACGAGCTGACTGACCAATAGCTGAACAGAATAAAGTTAGGTGGGAAAGCCAAACTGAGAATGATGGAAGGAAGAAGGGTGGAGTCAGGGGAATCACCAGCAAGACACAGAGGGAGCAGGAGATGAATGTGTCATGCTAATAAAGGAACTGCTATGTGGCAGAGTGTAAATAAAAAATATGGGTAGTTTAAAATGTAAGAGCTAGTTAGTGATAAGCCTGAGCTACTGGCCAAGCATTAGTAATTAATAGTAAGTCTTTGAGTGATTATTTGGGAGCAGCTGTGGGACAGGAAAACTCTGAGGTCTCCAGCTCCTGCTGGCTTGGCTCTATCTGGAAATGCTTAAAGACCCTCCTTCCCACATCCCCTTAAAGAGCAAAGAATGACTGCCATTATCCTCGCTTCTCTGATGGGAACAACTGTGGCTGGGTTCCGTGTTTGGTCCTCTCACCTGAAATCGTCCCCATCGCTGAGGGCTTCCTCCTTTGGAGCCTTGAGATTCTCAGATTTAGCAGTGGCTTTGGCCACTTTCTTTTTTGATGGACCCTTTGTGGGGTCTCCTGGATCACTGCAGGCTCTCTTCCGTTTTCTTTGCGAAACTTTGGAGAGAGGGCACTTCTTTGGGGGTTTCTGTTTCTCATCTTCAAAATCATCTAGGTAACAACACAGAGCAAGAGGTGACAGGTGGTTGAGAAGGTGGAGGCAGTGAGACTTTTGGGCAAGGCTCCCCAGAACCACATCTGTCATCAATCCCCTGGTCACCATCCTGTGTCTTAGGCAGCACACAGTACTCAACCTTTCACCTAAAGCCTTCTCTATGGTCACAATAAAAACCACACAAATCAAATGCAGAGCCCCATGTACCATAGGGAAGTGCTACACCCAGCTACACTACCAGAAGACTCTTTCTTATTCTACTTCTCCTAAAACAGAAACCACCCTATGACTAAAACTCTAAATTCCAATCTCAAAAGAAATGTAAGGGAAAAAAAAAAAAAAAAACCCCTCGAATCCATTCAATGACACCATGCTTGCCAACCACCTGCGAAGACCTAGTAGAATCTACTACTCAGGTGAGACCCTTCCAGTTCACAAACCTCTTTGCACCTTACTTTTACTATTTTCTTTCTACCACATTCTAAACCAAACTCTGCTCAAGCACACTGCCATTCTGGAGACCTAGGTAGCCGAAAGCTCACAGAGATCTGCCTACCTCTGCCTCCGGAGTGCTGGGATTAAAGGTGCACCACCAGGTTTAATTAAATCATTAAAACAAAGGAAAAATGGCATAATATGTTCAGTGTAAAACGTTGTTTTGGCTGAGTGTGAAAAAGCTCAGGCGGCAAGAAAATGGACCTCTACTCTGCAGTAGTAATCTTTAGATGGCAGAAACAGGTGACTTTTCAGCATTGTTTGCTGTTTATTTTTTGCAGGACGAAGAGGAGAAGGGTAGCCTCTCAACAAATCTCCAGAATAGTTTCCAAAATTAAGAGCATCTAGCATACCTAACCAGTCTCCTTGAGCTCAGTCATTTCAGCAGTTCAAGAATTAGCACTGTGGTTTCCTCATTGAGCTATGGAGACTTAAGGGCAGGTTATACATCTTCTCAGAACTCCCCAAGGCACTCAAGAAGAATTCAAATTCCTTAGTTTGATCTTCAGGCTGAGGTCCCTGCCCTGCAATCACCTCTATTTCCACAGTTCATCTCTTCATACTGTGCACAGCCAAGAGTCTTTAAGCATCCCATTCTGTGCATCGGACACCCCCCTTGTACTTACCACCTCACTTCCAATGTAGAGCTCAAATTGGCTACAGCACCTGGACACTAACACTGCCTCTTCCCAGACCTATGGCAGTCTGACGGGAGCAACCGGATTTACTCATCACCATGTGAATTTGCTTTTCTTTTTTCTCTCTTTTTAAATCTCATTATGTTAACATTATTCGCTTCCCCAAAGAATATCAGCATCCTAATAGCAGGAACCTTGCCTGCTTCGTCTACTAGTATACTCCCAGTACTTAGAGCAGTGGCTGGAAATCACTGAATAAATACTTAGAGAAACTAATGAATTTCCCAATGAAGACATTAACAGAGGAAAAAAAAAACATATGAAGAGGAGCCTATTGGACAACAAGGTAAGTGATGATGTTCTTTATTCCCAACTATCAAAAGGAGCTAAGCCTCATCTTCATTTGCATGCATAGGAGTGCTCCTCAACTTTTCCATGTAGAAACTACCAAACTGGCAGACGCCACATAGCAGATGCTCAAGAAATGTCTTAGCTTAGATGAGTAAATGAAGACGGTGAAGTTTCTTAAGTGTAGAGTAAGCTAAGGCCTCTAATGTTTAGGAAATATTACTGTTTCCTAGTGGGCAATGAATTTACAATCTGTATGTAATCCGATTCCAAGGTAGTAGGAGCTATGGGGTGGGTATAGGGGTCACTCAACTAGTCAAGTTTTTTTTATCTAGTTATTTTAGAAGGCCTAGATAGCCCTTCTCTAGCAGCATGCATTTGCATATTTAAAAAATGTTTTTGCAGGACAAAAGAGATGGTTCAGCAGTTAAGAGCACTTGCTGCCCTTCCAAGAGAACTCAAGTTCAATTCCCAACACCGAAATGGCAGCTCACAACCTTTTGTAACTCCAGTTCTGGGGAATCCAACACCCTCATCTATTTAACATCTGCAGGCATGGCCCACACATTGTGCACAGACATGCATGCAAAAAACATATGCATAAAATAAAAAAATAGTAAAGTGTTTTTTCAGAGATGTAAACAAGAGAAAGAACAAAATAGGTTAAGAAGGGAAATGAGCTTTGTTTTTATGAAGCTTACATTGTACTCAAACAATCAGAAATGAAGATGACTGTAGAATGATAGGTGAATAGGAACATCACTGTGATTCTGTGGTGGAGGATACCTAGGAATGACTACTTTAAGATGACCGTGGAATGTCTTAGACCTCAAGTAGAGAAGAAATTAGACCCAGCAACAGCGACGGAGAACATTCTAAGGCAAAGAAACATGGAAGGCCAAGCCTCCAGATAAATAAACAGTATATTCAAAGAAGAGAAAGGCAGTCACCAAGAGCCATCTGTAATCCCTGTGATCATGAGGATGAGACAGGAAAAACCCAGAGCTCTAGGCCGGGCTGCTGTTTAAAATAAGAATATCTGGAAGAGAGACATGCTAAGTGAGGTAGATGCTATACACGGAGAGCACACATCTAAGAAGGTTTTAAGTAAGAAGACCAAGGCATATGAAGTTTTGTTGTCGTTCTACATCACTTGGCTGCTGGATGGAGATCTGATGTAGAGGGGAACTCACTCAACTAGAAAACGACAGGAACAGGATACCAGCTATGAAATTAAGAGAATTAGGCACATATTTCAGTGACTCCGAAGCTGAACTGGACCTCCTGACGAACTAGCAGTTAAGAAAAGGCGTGTTTTAACAGGTGGGTGAAGGAGTGATTTATTGAGATGGGAATATTTTAAGCTTCTCCTTGGTTCAAGACCAAGGTAAGAAGCGCATCGCAAACCTGGGGCCGGAATTACAGTGGATGCAACTTGGAGAGAGATTCTCACACTACAAGGTCTCCCTCTGTCCTAGTTTTGGTGTCTCTCTGACACCGGGCAACAGGGAAGCTTTTTCCTGATCGGCCCTCAACACTTGCCAAGAGGCTGGACTTGGTCCTAGGGGTTACGGTGGGGTCAGGGCTGATGGTAGAGGCCCTTGGGGGGCCGCGCATCCGGCCGTGGAGACCTTCCGCCCCGCTGCCCGCCCCAGCCTCTCACCCGCCTCGCTCTCCTCCGGCCGGGCTGCTTTGTTGTTCTCGGCTTCTCGGCCGCGCCCCCGCCGCCTTCCTCCCGCAGGGCGCTTCGGAGCCATGCTGCCCGGCAGCGACACTCCGGGCTACCGCAGCCAGCCGGCCGCAGACACTCTCCGCGTGCTCGCCCCGCCCCGAGGCGGGCCATGCCTGGGCCGCGCCCCCTGACCAGGTTGGGACCACGCCCTCCGGAGAAACCCCTCCCCCTGCAAACTACAGGGGCGCAAAGGGACAAAAATAAAGTAGGTCTACTTCCCGAGAGTGGAACCCTTTGCGTTTCTGAGTGCCTGTTCTCGCGAGAGGTGGAAAGGGCGCAGCGTTTGAAACATGGCGGACGACGTAGATCAGGTAAGTTTGTCCGGAGGCGCTCTTAGAGGAAGCGCTTGCGCTTCCAGGTCGGGTTCGCGTTTTCCACGCTCGCTGAGAAGCGGCCCGTCTCTCTTTGTCCCGAGGAACCACGGCCTTCCGTAGCCGCGCCGGCTCCTGAAACTCTGGCAGGCCTAGAGTTTTCTCAACCCGCCTATCTGCCCATCACGCTCGGCATCGGCTTTTATCTGTAAAATGCAAACGGCTGTCGACACCAGACAGAAAGCGTGAGGTAGTGGTGGACACCAGCTTTGTAATACGTGCAAGCGCCTGGTGCGCAGGCAGCGGCTCACTTGGAGTGCAGTAGGAGGGAGGGAGGGAGGTAGAGAACCTGGTGGAGATGTAGTCTGGAGAAAGCAAGCCAAGATCGGGTGCACACAGGATCACAGGCTGCCCTCTTCACCTGCTCTTCCCCCTATTCCTTAGCTACCTGTGGAGTTCCGAAATGATTGCACTCCCTCACACGCACACGCACCCACACACGGGTATTTAAAATAACAGAGCATGTTATTTTAAATATGTATTTCTTTATCTGAGACATTTCTTCCATAACTAGAACGTAAGTTACTTAATAGGGGCATTGGGGCGGGGGTGGCTGGAGAGGTTGCTTTAGGAGTTAAGAGCACTTGTTGCTTTTGTAGAAGACCATGGTTGGGATCCAGCACCCACATGTTGGCTTAACAGCACCCCAACGCATCTTAACTCCAGTTGCAGGAGGGGATCCTCTGCCCCCTTCTGGCCTCTGCTACCGAGCACTGTGTCAGCGTGTGGTGCACATGCATACAGGCAAACTGCTCACATACACGATAAAAGTAAACCTTTAAAATAAAGGGGGGTTTTCTGTGTTTGCTTTTCTTTCCTAGGTTTAGGACAGTGCTGTTAGCACTCAGCAGGTTATTAGTTGAGGGAACGAACCCAATGTTCAGGGGCAGCTTCTTTGAAAAGGCAGAATGTAAAGCTTACAGGGTGAAAAGGATTGACAGTGGCCATCCTAGACTGAAGAGGGCTGTCGTGGGAACAGATTTCATTGTTTTGCAGCTATGTATTTATATGCCCCTCTCCATACTAGAGTGAGCTCCATTGAGGGGATGCGGCTTCTGTATTGTTGTAATCCAGTGGTTGGTTGTCTGATTTCTTAACAAAAGCCTGCTGAGCTAAGGTGGGAGGAGGAAAGCACCAGTTGAGATCCGGGGTTGGGGGTGTTCTGGGAGGGTTGTTTGTTTCCTGTCATCAGCCTCATATCTACACAGCCTACAATTTTCAGCTTTCACTGACCCCAGGTACTCACTGGAGAAGCTTGCTGAATGGTCTTACTAATTCTTGATGGCTGGAACCACCTCTTTCATATAGCTGAATCCAGGTCATCCCAGTTCTAACCTTTGAAACCTGTTCCAACAGTTCTTGAAGAGTAATTCTGATTTATCATTCCTCTGAAATGACTGACCAAGAATGCATTCTTAAATCTTGAAGCAAGCAAGAGATTATATTAAATATAAGAAATTACAGGTGCTGGGAGTGGGGCTGGTAAGATAACAGGTAAAAATGCTTGCAGTTTGTAAGCGTGACAACCTGAGTTCAATTCCTGGGACACACAGAGGAAGGAGAGAACTTTATAAAGTTGTCTTCTGACAGCTACTTGAACCCCATCACACACACACACACACACACACACACACACACACACACACACACCAAAACACACACATATAAAATTTTGCTACACACACACACACACACACACACACACACACTCTTAAAAGTTCCAGACTCGGTTCATACCTGCCCAATCCCAGCATCTGAGAGGCAAAGACTTGCTGCTCATCAAAGGCTGTCATGGGCATGCCTCTTAAAAAAAAAAAAAAAGGTAATTATTTAGAAGTGTTTCCTTTTTACTTCAGATAGACCCTTTAGTCCTTATAAGATCTCTGAGGCAAAGATGTGGTCTCCCCAGTTTGCAAATGAGGAGTCTGAAACAAGAAATGGCATGATTTTTAATCCCAGTTCAGAAGAGCCAGGTCAGAACCCAGAATTGAACAAAGGCTTCCTAATGACTCAGTTCTTTTAACTTCTATACTATACTACTCGGTAGGTAGGTTCATCTTGCCAGCCAATTAGCACCCTAAACTTAACCTGCGCTGTACTGACTTCAAATTCTGTCAGATCTTTTTAGTAGTGTGTGAATAGGTATTGCAGGTATGTTTTTCAAATGATTGAATTATACAAAAGATAAAGCTAAGGTTCCTAAGTGGTACTCTAACACTTTGGATTTTTTGGAAGTTCAGTCATCATTTTGCTACTTAACTCCTCTCCACATAATGTTTTTCTCCTCTTTTACATAGCATCGAGGCACCGTTCTAAGCTTTCATATGTCATTTAAAATAATAGTATTGGGGAGACACTATTTTCTGCATTTGGCAAATTAGACTAAGGTATAAACGGGTTATGTGACTAGCCCTTGGTTTCACTGCTTAACAGTGATTGAAACACCACTCTGCCTCTGGTGGTCCATTACTAAGTGTGTTTCCTTCATCAGCAACAGACTACCAATACCGTAGAGGAGCCCCTGGATCTCATCAGGCTCAGTTTGGATGAGCGAATTTATGTGAAGATGAGAAACGACCGAGAGCTTCGAGGCAGATTACATGTAAGTCTTTTAAATTATCTCAAAACCAGATGTTTCCCTATCATCCCTTCCTACCTCCTTACAGATTTAAGAACTGCAACACAAACATACTGTTTTGAATTATGTAGTTTCTTTTGGGAGTTGGAAAATCTTAGACAATATGAATATCCTTTATTTTTAAAATATTTTTCCTTAACCAGAGGTTTATGAAAGAAAGAATGTGTACATGTGGCTGTGTGGATGTACCCGTGCTTACGGAGCCCAGAGATATCTTGGAGCTGAAGTTACAGACATGATATGGGTGATATACAAGCCAAACTTGGTTACTCTGCAAGAGTAGCCAGTACTCTTAACCTGAGCATCTCTCCAACCCTATAGAACATTTTTACCTCCTTCAATCTTACCTTCTGTTTACTTATGAATAAACTTATTTGTCTTTGTTTTAGACAAGGGCTTGCCATGCAGCCCAGTTAGTTTTAAAGTCAACATCCTCCTGCCTCCATCTCCTTAGAGCTGGGATTATAGATATGCACTACCATCCTTGGCTTTGTCCTCTGTTCTTGGTTTTTGGGGAGGGTGTTGTTGTTTTAGTTATTGAAAACAGACTGGAGATACAGTTCACTAGTAAGAGTGCTTGCCCAACACGGAGCAAAGCCCCTAGCACTACAAAAAGTGTTAAGTAGCATAGAAATCTGTAGGATTAAAAGCGAAGTCCCATTTACTATGGATGAGCACTATTCAGGGTTGGTTACAGAGTCTTCCAGATCTTTTCTGCATGTGTGTAGACTGTGTTTAAAGGGAGATCCTAGTGAGGTATGGTGACATGTGCCTGTAATTCCAGTACTTAGATGACTGAGGCAAGAAGATCAGATGTTCGAGGCTAGTCTGGACTACCTAGTGAAACCCTGTTTTGAAAGTCTGTGACGGCTTCATATACATATTTTTAGCACTTTTTCCATGTGACTTTTGTGTGTGTATGGACTGTTAGATAGATGATTACTACACAGGATTTTATATAAGGCAACAGTCACATTTTTCCTTTTTTTTCCCCCTAGCTATGAGACTGTATTACTCACTTTTATATATTATTACTTGTGCACATTTATGACTTCTGTGGAATTACGGTTTTGTCTCTTCTTAACTTTTTACTTTCCTAGGGCTGTTGGTTTACAACACGGAATTGAGCCAAGTCTTACTTTAGGGTTAGAGACAGCCCTGTCCTGCCAGTGATAGATCCACTAGGCAGTTGTGCTTCAGTCTCCCTCTCAGAAACTATGATAGTTCCTTCCATGATTCCTGAGGACAGGGAGCCTCTGGGGCTGGGAAGGAAATCGGGTCACTGATCTACAAGCTAGCCTTTGCAAACAGCAGTGTCCGTTTGACGAGAAAAGTGGGATGGAGCTAAATTACATGGGTCTTTGGCACATGAAATGACACCCCAGGCCAGACGGTGTCTTTAGCTTGTACTTCCGTACTAAGTGGCCCACCTTTCTGTTTGCTTCCTGCTCTTCAGCTGAACATTTATTTGCTCATTTGTCTAGCTGCCAAGCAGTTCCTTCCCAATGTGGCTGTTAGGCTATTTTTATCTTGATATGAACAGGCAAACCACTTAGCATTTTGTTAGAAGAACATGTAAGTGGGTTCTGAACAGGCCCCAGGAGGTTTGCCATTTAGTAAAAGGAATGAACTTTGAAGGTTGCACTGAAAACTGTGGTCTCAATCCTTCCTGGCTGAGCCTCCAGAGGCCAAGCACGTTAAGCTCTGGACAGGTTATAAATGGGCAAAGTGGAGGTAGGAAAGATGGTCACTGGGTAAAGCATGAGGACTAGAGTTTAGATCCTCAACACACATGGAAATACTAGGCGGGTATGGTGGCTTACCTGTAACTCCAGCCTCTCGAGGCAAAGATAGGATCCCTGAGCAAGCTGGCTGGCTAGACAGTCTGAAAGCTCTGTGTTCAAGTGAGAGACACTACCTGAATACATGAGGTTGAGAGCAACTGAGGAAGTCTCTGGTGCCCGTGCACGTGTGAACATGTATATACACATGTTGTACACTGCGCACGCACACACAAACACACACACCCACAAAAATGGGGAAAATTTTGCTCTGCTTGTATGATTTTTGTGTGGGTAAGATGACATTGTTCTTGCTTGAGAACCACAGGGCCAGGACTTTATATTGCTTACTATCCTTGAAGTCTAACAAAGGTACAAAAAATGGCAATAGTGTGGTCTTTTGGAGCCTCAAAGCTGACCCCCAGTAACACACCTCCTCCAATATGGCCACAATTGATAATACTTCTGAAACAGTTCTATCAACTGGGGATCAACTATTGAAATATATGAGCATAGAGAGGCCATTCTCATTCGAAACACCACAGTCTCTAATAATGTAAAAACTTATATTTTCCATTATGTTAAAATACTTTCAAATACCGTATAAAATGAAACTATGTAATATAACCTACGTCATTGTACTTTTAATTGGTTCATTAAATCTTGTCTAAATTTTGTTATCACAAAAAAAGAAAGAAAGAAGTCTAACAAACAAAGAATTTGCTGTTTTTTCATAATAAACTGTTGTGGATGGTGGGGTTTTCTCTAACAAGTAGAGTAGGTACTTAAGAAGTAATTTCAGGTTATTTTGAATGAATTCATTTTTGATCATAAGCAGTATTGTCACTGGGAATGGCTTGTGAAGACTCGATAGACTAGCACAGAGGGAGTGTTTGTTATTTGCATATAAAAGTTTTGGGTGTAAGTATTGAATATGTTGCTTATAATCCACTTGCATCTTTTTTTTTTTAAGATTTTATTTATTTATTTATTATGTACACAACATTCTGCTTCCATGTATATCTGCACACCAGAAGAGGGCACCAGATCTCACAACGGATGGTTGTGAGCCACCATGTGGTTACTGGGAATTGAACTCAGGACCTCTGGAAGAGCAGTCGGTGCTCTTAACCTCTGAGCCATCTCTTCAGCCCCCACTTGTATCTTTTGAGCTCTCTTTGTTTCTCAAATCTCACCCTCCCATTTCAGGCTTATGATCAACATTTAAATATGATCCTGGGAGACGTAGAAGAAACTGTGACGACGATAGAGATTGATGAAGAGACATATGAAGAGATATATAAAGTAAGTCCTGCAGGTCTTCTCTTTGACAGTGTCAGATCTTATCATGCAGCAGCTTACCACTTACTTGTGGGAAGCCTGTTATATTTGGGCTCCTACTTATAGACTGTAGTGATTAAATGCAAGGGTTTGGACTATTGATAGACTGTAGTAATTAAATACAAGGGTTTTGGAATCACACAACTTGTTTTTTGTTTTTTGTTTGGTTTTTTGTTTGTTTGTTAGTTTTTTGGTTTTGAGACTGGGTTTCTCTGGCTTTGGAGGCTGTCCTGGAACTAGCTCTTGTAGACCAGGCTGGTCTCAAACTCACAGAGATCCACCTGCCTCTTGCCTCCCGAGTGCTGGGATTAAAGGCGTGCACCACCACCTCCCGGCAAAAGTTAAATTCAGCCTGCTTTTTTTGTTTTGTTTGTTTGTTTTTTGAGACAGGGTTTCTCTGTGTAGTTTTTGGAGCCTGTCCTGGGACTCACTCTCTAGACCAGGCTGGCCTTGAACTCACAGAGATGCACCTGCCTCTGCCTCCCAAGTGCTGGGACTAAAGGCATGCACTACCACCACCCGGCCTCAGAACTGGTTATTAACTCTGATTTTAAAGATAGCTTTATCACCAAAGCTCCCCCCAGCATGGATGACAACTCACAAAGCTGGGAACCATGTAGCACACTGCACGGCCTGCAAGCAGCTCAGCAGGTTGGAAAGTGTCCTTTACCATCAACTGAGTTGGTCTGAACCTTGCCTCAGAGTACTAGGATTAAAAGCTTTTGCTACCACACCCAGCCCACAAATACAATAGCTTCTTTTCTTTCTTTTTAAAAATTCATTTTATGATGCCAGGTGGTGGTGGTGCACACCTTTAATCCCAGCACTCTGGAAGGAGGGGAGGCAGATCTTTGTGTGTTTGAGGCCAGCCTGGTCTACAGAGCAAGTTCTAGGACAGCCAGGGTTACAAAGAGAAACCCTGTCTGGGGGAGAAAGTAAAATTTTGTGTATGTATGTGGATACCTACATATATGTGTCTGGTGTCTGAGGAGGCCAGAAGAGGGCTTCAGATCTCCTGGAACTGGAGTTACAAATAGTTGTGAGCCACCATGTGAGTGCTAGGAATTGAACCTAGGTTCTCTGGAAGAGCAGCCCGTGCTCTAAACCACTGAGTCATCCCTTTATCACCTATTATAGTTATTGTAGTGTGTTGTGTATGTGTTTACTACAGACACAGGCAAGACAGACTGGTGTTGTGGGTCGTATCTTTAGTCCATTCATGCAGCAGTGGAGAACAGTGCCTTGCTGCCTTGTATGTTCTCATTACCTTTGAAGTGGGAAACCAAGCAGCAGCCTCCCCATGGCTGCATGGTATGTTTTGCCCTCCCTCAGTTGACATAACTAAATAATAGCAACATTCCCAAAACAGGAAGGACCACAGACCACTGAGCTTTCCCCACAGAATGCACAATTAACTCCTGAGTGACTGGATTGATACCAAGTGGCCAATAGGAAGGCAGACAGCAGTTAGCCCTGTTCTTTGGGTTCCCTCTCTACCACAGAATATTGCTTTTGTTGATTGCTAAAGTTCTGCTATTTGGCTCTGCCCACTTTTTCTGCTATCCATCATGTTTACCACCTTCTGTCACCAAACAGCTCATCGTGTGGCTCACTGCCTGGCTTCTCTTGGTGATACTGTGCTCTTTGTAGCCAAACCTTCTTGCTCCAAGCACCAGTTCTCACGGAATTACAGACCTGCTGGAAACTAAGGAGACAGCTTCTCTGTCAGACTACCCTGATCAACCCCTCCTGAGCTTCAGCAGGCTGCATAGGCTTTGCCTAAGGACAAAGTGTTTTAACTGAAAAGTTTTACTAGGCCTTGTCTACTTTTTTTTTTTTTTTTCTTTTTCTTTTTTGTACTTACATACTTGGGCTTAAAAGCACCTGGCATTGTTTCTTTTTGTTTGCCTGATAACTAGCCAGTTCTTGCCTGATCTCATTCTTGTACTTCCTGCTGAATGCATCTGTTACACCATGGCACTTATTTACATTTGGCTTTTTCTAGCCTTTGTCCCCAGAGTCTGTAGATTTGGGAGGTCTTTAGGCTGCTCCCAAGTTCTGCCAACATATTGCCAAGGCATAATGATGACCCAGATTGTGTCATGTTTGCTGCCTGCCCAAAGCTGATCACTAAGCTGAAGCCTTGGGGGTTGTATCCTCATTTGTGCTCATAGGAGTACACAGAAGCAGGTGTGAGGGCTGGTGGGCACACTGGGGGTTGAGTCCCTGCCTGCAGGTCAATAGAGTAGCTTTCTTTCAGGTGCTAAGTTGGGGACATAGACTTCTGCCTTCCTGTTCTTGAGGTCTCAGTGTTCAGGGTCCATCCATTGGTAAAACAATGACTACCCATTGGCATTCAGAGGAAGTCATTCTTGAAACCCATGGCTGAAATCCAGTTGTAGCTGAGGCTGTAACTCAGTAGTAAAGCATTTGCTTAGAATGAGCAAGAGTATCATAATGGCACACACCTTTAATCCCAGCACTCAGGAGGCAGAGGCAGGCAGATCTCTCTGAGTTTGAGGCCAGCCAGGTCTACAGAGTGAGTTCCAGGACAGCCAGAGTTACACAGAGAAGCCTTGTCTTGAAAAACACCACCAAAAAATAAGTGCAAGACTTCAGTCCCCAGCACCCACTTCCCCAAAATCAATCCGAAGCCAGAGTTAGTGGCATACTCCTGCAATCCCAGCACTGGTCTGGAGAGATGGCTCAGGGGCTGAGAGCACTTGCTTCTTTCCCCCTTTTCCCTTTTAGTACTTATTTTTGACACAGTCTTACTACTGTTTGGCCTTATTGTGCTTTACCCTTTTGTTCTCTTCCAGTCAACAAAACGGAACATCCCCATGCTCTTCGTCCGGGGAGATGGTGTTGTTCTAGTTGCCCCTCCGTTGAGAGTCGGCTGAGACAGAAAATGGTCCTGTGTAGGAAAATGGAGACTTTGCCTCTTGAGATGTACAGAACACTCACAGAGAGAAGCTCATGTGTATTCTGATAGTCAGAAATGACCCGAGGATCCCTCCACCCTCAAAGAAGTTCATTTGCGAGTAACTTACAACCTCTCCAGCTAAAATGGCATGTTCCTTTTTCTCCAGCCCTGTCTGTGTAACCACCTTGCTCTTTTCAGGAGTTGATTTGCCCATTGTTCTTGCAGTTACTTTCAGGTTGTTTTCTGATAATTAAATTTGATGTCCCTTTTTTATTTTTAATGTGTCTTGTGGATTCTCAAGTTTTTACTTGGTATGTGCAGCATTCTTTCCCATGACTAGGGGACCAAGTTGAGTGTGAGGAAGGAGAGTTTGGCCATTCTGCCCCTGCCTCATCTGAGGAAGAGCTGTACCAACAGGTCCAGCGCAAGGAGGTCATTGCTCATAGCCTCTCCTGTCTCAGGGGCCCCAAGAGCTCAGGTGAGCACCCCAGTGAGAACCAGGCCAGAGGGGAGGTGGTGAGTGGCTTCAAACCTGCCAGGAAGATACAAAACATGACTTCTGTGACTGAAGAAATTATCTTCCACTCATGACTCACAGTCAGCCAGTGACAAGAACCTGAAGAGTCTGAGCAGGATGAGCTGAAAGCAAAGCTACTTCCATTCTGGCTTCAGTCATCCAGGACTTCACGTGGCATCACAAAAACACTTGGAGCCAACACCTTCCACTTAGTAGTTATCCATTGTGAAATGTAGACAATTGAGCTAGGGCTGTGGCTCTCAGGTTGGCTACTTGTCCTGTATGCATTAGTCCCCAGCACCACAAGAAGAAGAAAAGTATAAGCAGTCTGCGCTGTGGAGGACATGCCTGTAAATGTGCTCAGTGAGTTTGCTAATCTGTCAAATACAGTTTGTTCATGTGCTCTGAGCCAAAGTCATGTTGAAGAGGCTTTGTTTCCATTATTAATTGTACCTGTCCCTACAAGTTAGAGAGAGAAAAACAAGTGTGGCTGAGTTGATGGAAGTTTGATTTTCAGTGAGTAGGCAGGGCAGAACCCTCCTGACCACCCTGACCACCCCTACACTGTCCTTAGGCATTAGCTGTGCTAGGTGATGTTCTGTTCACTGTTCTGTTCACAGGACTTGGGATTTGGGCTGTGTCAAGTGGTTGTTCCTTGCAGTCCCCCTTCCTGAGTAGACAGCTTAACCAAATGCTAATAACAATGGCTGTAACTAACTCACTGAAAAGCATGCCTTGGGCAAAGCCACTCTATCATAGTCCTTTCAAGCCCTGCAGTCATAGAAGTAGCAAACCAAAGTGCTTAGATCACCCTGGTGCTGGTTTGTGGCAGCAGGGTGACCTTGCCTAACACCAGGTGCGCATGTGTGGGTATATGGCAGAGGCCCCCACTGTAGGTAACAAACCAGTATCCACTGCAGCTGTGGTGTGTTCGCCCTCCTCAGGCATGCAGTGTTGGGTGTGATACTTCTTCAGTTCTCTGCTTGGCCAGCTCCCTGATAGACTGACTGCACTAGAACTGTAGGCTGTGAAGACTCATTTTATACACATTTCTGAAGTCTAGGAATGTTAAAGTTTGATAGACTCTATACCCAACACAAACAGTCCATCTAGCTGCTGAGATATGGACAAACAAAACTATAGAAAACTGTTACCAAGTTGAGGAATGGGAGGCAGTGTGAGGTTGGCAGCCCCTTTTGGTCTGGAATTAAGTCCTCTACCTTGACAGTACAAGCATAGCTCTGCCACTGTCCCCCACACAGCAGTCACCTCCACTGATCTGCAGTGGTATTGTTGGCTGTATGACAAAGGGCTTCTAGCAACCATGCCTTAGACTTATGACCAGAGAGCACTGGGCTGGATATCCCATGCTGGCTTCTGTAACACAGTATCTGTCATATTACAATATGGACTATCCTCTACAGACTCAAGTATTTGAATACTTGGTCCCCTGCTGGTGCTCCTGTTTGGGGAAGCTGTAGAACCTTTACCAGGTAACTAATGGAGAGGTGACATTAAGGCTTTATAGTCTAGCCTTGCTTCCTATTGTGTCTGCTTCCTGAACCACCCATATCTGAACAAGCAATTTCAAACTCCTGCTATCACAGCTGAGGTACTCTCACCACAATGCCTTCCCTACCAGGGTGGATGTACCCTCAAAGTGTCAGCCATAGTAAACCCTCCTGGAAGTTGCTTCTTGTCAAATGTGGGCACAGCAGATGCCACTGTTCCGTTCCTGGGTTGGTCATTTTATGTTAGGAATGGTGATTGCTTCCCACACAGATAGAAAATACAGAGCTGTCGTTGGAAACCAAAGTGAGACATTGCTAGAGGCAGAGGAGGCCCATTCTGTAGACAACACTTAGTCATTTATAAGTTACTGAAAAAATAACTGGATACTTTATCAGAGGTGACAGATTTCTTGGACACACATCAGGCATTGGGGTGTTAGGTTGTTGCTGTAAAACCTCATTGGAGGCTCTGGAGCCTCTCAGGGAATCAAGGTGGGCAGAGCTTAGGCTTGTTCACTAGTGGACTGGGCCCCGGGACAGCAGCAGGACCCTGCAGTGGGGGTTGGGTGGAGTGCCTGCAGAGTCCTGCTGTAGCTCTGGGTGGGGTTGCTAAGCTGCGGGTAGATATTGGCTTCCTCTGCTTCTGGGAAGGGTAGGATATTTAGGAGTTGAACACAGTCCCACCAGACAAGTGACTGCTTGTATTCACAACCCCAGACTTGACGCCTAGCCAACAACTTGTCTTCCAGCAATGCTGAAGATGTGAGGATTAAATAACATCAGGCCAGCGATGCTATGTGGCTGGCACTGCAAACAGAAAGGGCCAATAGTACTTTGGAGAGACAAGCTGTGCACACCGATCCCCTATCCTGGGGTCCCCACAGCTCAGCAAGGCTTACCTCCTTTTCACCCCTCGGCCATCTTCTGCTCCCACATGCCTGGGACTACCAGCAGGCGCCAGCCACAGGCACCTAGCCAGGCATCGGTTTACATGGAAAACACCAAGAATGAGGACTACAAGGCCCAGTGTTTTCAAGTCCTGTAGGCCTGTTGCTCCACTCTCAGAGCAAGTCAGTTCTTATTTTCTTGGCTGATGCTTAAGTTTCATGGGTGTAGACACAGCATGCCCCACTGTGGTTTCTGATATTGATTACCCCTGAGGGATTCTTTTCTTGTGTTCTTCCCACCCACTACTCTGCCATGGAGATCCAGGGAGGTGTTGACAGGAGCCCCTGGTTGTCTTCCTGGCTTTGGAAAGTTCCCACAGAGGATCTTGCAATGTCATGGAGTCAGATAACTGAGCTTCAGTATGTGGCTGTGCCACATTGCCAGCTGGGCAGATGGAGTACCCTAAGGTCAGTTGTAAGTACTAAAATGCAGCTAAATGGGCAACCCAGACAACCCTGGAGTTTTACAGGTCAGGCACCATCCCCAAGTTGGAAGCAGCACTGAGACACAGTGGGATGGGGTCACTCCTTTATCCTGCCTTAGGCTAGTTGCTTTCCACTCTGTCTCCCTGAGTAGCTTTCAAGAGAATCTGGCTTTGAAATAATTTGGTTCATTCAATTAAAACTTACTTTGCAAAGGCTAAGAAAATGGCTCAGTGCTTCCCAAGTGAGGATCTAAGGTCAGATACCAACACCCATGTGAAAAGGCAGGTGTGGTGGTGCATACCTGCAAAGGCAGCTCTGGGAAGACCCCCAGAGCTTGCTGGCCAGCTAGTCTTGCTCAATCAGTAAGCCCCAGATTCAGTGAGACACCTTGTCTCAAAAACATAAGGTGGAGAACGATAAAACATAGACACACATGAACACATACTCCACACCAGAGAGGAAAAGAAATGCCTGTCATGTGGCAGAGTCTGTGAGAGGCCCGACACAACCAACTTAGGACCTAAGGTAAATGCTATTAAGGAAGGAAGAAAGGGGATGAGGTGGGAGAAGACAGAGCATCCTTGTGGAGTCTGTGTTGGGAGGGTGTAGGCTCTGTAGGGTTTGGCAGAGCAGTGAGAATGGTTTTTTTTTTTTGTTTTTTGTTTTTTGTTTTTTGTTTGTTTTGTTTTGTTTTGTTTTTCCTGGCTGAAGGTCAGCAAGGAGGCTAATGGACCGGAGAAGTCTGAGTCAGGTTGGGCACTCAGACGGCGTGAGAAAGCTGGGTGTCACTGACTACACTACTCTCATCTCACAGGGGAATACAAAGACCTGGGGAGTGAAAGAGACCCTCCTAGGTCACAGCATCCAACTAATTGAATTCCAAAATGGAATCAGGGCACCGTGTGGCTCAGCTCCAGCAGAGCTGTTCACACAGCTAAGCAGCCCCTTCAGATCACCTCCTGTTCCTCTTTGGAAGAAGGATTCTGAGTGAGCAGTCGCCATTCAGGCTAACTGAGACCTGGTCTTCCATCCTTGCTCACTATGGAGTAAATGAACAATGGAGAAAGCAGAGGTAGACAGTAAGCTTGCCAGTCCTTGCTCTGTCACCCACGTGCTTTGTGGATTTGGGTGCATCTCTTCCACCTCCCTGGGGTTCACTTGCTCAAATGAGGGGAAACACTGAGAATGTTCCTAAGAGATTTTACCTAAACATACATGTCTTGTCTTTTACCCCCAGTTAAATATATATTTTTAACTGGTGCATAAAACTAAACATTGGAGCTTGGCATTGTGTTGCCTCAGCATTCAGTGGGCTGAGGCAGGAGGATCACATGTTCCAGGCCAGCCAGGGGCTGTGAATCGAGACCATATCTCAAACGACAAGAACATAAAATATGCACGTAGAAATAAATGGGTTCTGTGTGGTCCCAAAATGTGTTTGCATTGGGTGGGATCTAAATCAGCATAAATATTTATCTCCACAAACATGTATTTAAAAATACATATTTTTAATTAAATTAAATTAAAATACACATTTTAATTTAATTTATATGTAAATATTTAAATTTACATAGTTTATTTGTGGTGCAAACAAAGTCTTTTCTTGTCTGTTTTGAAATGCACAGCCATCGCCACAGCGTGTCCCATAGCATATCACTTCCACGTTGCTCCTCTCCAGCTCTAAGTCCCCAGGATCAGTCAAGTGCACAGAGCATGTTTTGACACCAGGGGGTGCTACACTCTTACCTACTCAGCTTCAGCTGTCTTGATTCACTGTCTAAGACTGCAAACTCTGACATTTACTTCCTTAAATCCAAACAGTATGTGCAACTCCAACCGCACTTCCAGAAAGAAGCACAGGACAGGCAACATCACATGTGCCACAGGCCTCAGGAAACAGTTTTCAGGCAAAATACCCTAACAGTGGCTCCTACAATGCTGAGCTAGAACCATCCACAAGAACACACACAGTCTAGGCAAGATGGTTTTCACCAGCACACTGATCCTGCATGTAGCTGGGTGGTTGTACTGAACTTTGGTCAGGGATCAAGGCCAGACTCTGCCACCCCACTGAGCAGATCCTTGTTCCTGCTCTCAACTTTAGTGTCCTCATTTGGGCTGTGTCCTCCCAGCCTAAGAGCACTCTGTTACTGATTCAACAAGTTTGGAGAGATTGGAAGGTGCTTGAGAGCCATCGTTAGTGTGTTACAAGGTAAGGACATAAGGAGTCAAGAAGCCTTGCTTTTGCAACTAGCTGAACACTAGACTCAATCACTCCAATCCTCTTTCTTTATCCATAAGATAGGAGCTAGCCAAGGGCAGTGCCATTGAGCTGCACTCCAGCCCTCATCAATATCTTCTATTCTTTTTCCTTTATGGCTTTTCCAGACTGAGAACTGCTAGAAACTAGTTCAGATCAAAGGTAGTTGTGCTTAGGGTTTGGGGACTGGATGAGTGGGTTGGTGGGGTTCTCCTTGGCAGGATCCCCCATTCTTCCTTCCTTGGTTCATAGCAATGGTTTTCTCAGCTCAGCTCTCAGGCATGAGAGAAATGAGCAGAACCAGCTTCATGAACAAGGTCACCCAAAAACATCACAAGACGATGACATCACTGTCAGCTCTGGCCCTGCAAAAACCCAGAGCTCGAATAACCAAGGGAAAGGGCAGGTCATCCTCACAGCAGGGCAACAGAGCTGGTGCCAGGCCTCTGCCAACTATCAGGGCCTGGGAGTGTTGCTGAAAGTTACCCAGGAGCCTCTCATACCTGCCTGTGCCCAGCCAGAGCTCTCACAAGCTTAGAACACTGTTCTGAGTCTCACCAACGGGAATCCCCACCCCCACCCTTTCCTAGAAGAAAGGTTAGCAACTGCCAGAATCAAAATAGATATGGATAGAATCGTGTGGCAAGACTCATGTTTAATTCAAGCACACCCAATTGCGAGATGTCCTGAGGAAGACAGCTGAGGAGCAAAACTTTTTCAAGTTATTGTCACTTTGTTGGAACTGCCTCAAGCCGGCCAACTTTTCTCTCTGGGCTAATGTTTCTGCCATACTGCATGTCAAGCAATCATGTCTTCAGAGCCCAGATGCTGCCCTGCTCTACAGGAGAGCCAAAATGTAGAACCTCACATAAGAAATCCTTCTGTTAAAGAAAATGGTTGTTCAAACTTTATCTATTCCATGTGCTCTGGTGACATGTGTGCTCACAAACTACCCCCAGGCTGCCCATCCCACTGGAGCACCATCCAGATTCATGGCCCACCTCACCCACCTCCTACCCCACCTGGCATTCTCACTCTCCTTCTTCAGCCCAAATGCGCTGGCTGTTTTGCTATTCCTCACAAGGGCCAGGTTCAGTCCTTCCTAAAGTCCTTTCCACTGGATCCCACCTTCTAGAATCATCTTCAGTCATGCTGAGCAATAGCACTACTTGTCAGGCTCATAAAACTCTTAATGACCCAAATACCCTACACCAACTAAGTCAGTTTCTGGAGCCTTCCAGGTTGATGTTTAAACACAAGCCAAAAAAAAAAAAAAAAAAAAAAGAAGTAAAACATCTCTCTTTTGAGAGCCAATGTCCTGGATGAGGGTTTCTCAAAAAGCAATCCCAGGTCAACAGCAGCAGTACCTGGGGGTGTGTTAGAAATACACATTCTTGACTAGCTGGTAGATCACTTGCCTAGCACAATAAGGTCCTTAGAACAATAGCAAATCAAGTTCTCCCCATTCCAAAGTTACCAAATGAGCAACTTTGTGTATAGGGCCAGGAGTATGCATATGAACAAGGCCTGGGGTGACTGCACATCAGGTTCTGAAAAGTGCTGGCTTCCATTCTTGGTGCTCGGGATGTCTTAGGGATCAGGAGCATCAGAATGCCCCTGAGCTTGTCAGAGTGCAGATCTCCAGTGCCATCCAAGCTCATAAACATGACCTGTCGGATCAGAACCTGTGCTCAACAGATCTCAGTGACTCACACGGGCTAGGAATTAAGAAGTCTCCCAGCCCTGTCCTGAAGGACTCAGAAGCCATGAAAACTGAGAGCTAAGCCTGGCCTGTCTGGGTTGCACATCTCAATTATCTTTGTGTATAGAAAAAAAAAATCAGGCTTGCTAGAGAAAAGGCTCAAACCAGGGCTGAGGCAAAGAAAGAAAGAACCATACACCCCGTACCCATTCTAAAAAGCTGGGCAGGGTGGCATGAGCTTGTAATCCTAATGATGGGTAGATGGAGATGATGAATCCCTAGAGCTCACTGGTGAGCCAGCGTAGCCTGCTTGGAGAGTTATTGGTCTGCGAGGGAATATCTCAAAAATAAGTGGGCAGGCAGTGCCTGAGGATACCATGTAAGATTGTCCTTTGGCCTCTCCATACCCACCCACGTGTACCTGTACACATGCACACACAAACATACAAAGCAAGGAAACACTCCAAGAATGAGGCTGATGTCAGAAAGACACGTTAAAATTTTTATTTTATATTTAATTATGTGTGTATGGATTTCTTTGTGCAGTGTCCACAGAGGCCAGAAGAGGGCATTTGTGCACCCTGGAACTGGAATTACAAATGTTTGTGAACTGCCATGTTGATGCTGGTAATCAAACGCTGACCCTCCAGAAAAGCAGCCAGTGTTCTTAACTGCTGAGCCATCTCTCCAGCCCCAGAAGCCAGTTTAAAGGGTTCTCATTGGTCTGCTTTGAGATGAATCTGATTGTAGTGATATAAACTATTAATAAGGTTTAAATCTATGATTATGTAGCTGTATGATTATAGAAATAAGTGTGATAGCCAGGTGGTGGTGGTGCACACCTTTAATCCCAGCACTTGGGAGGCAGAGGCAGGCAGATGTCTAAGTTCGAGGCCAATCTGGTCTACAAAGCTACACAGAGAAACCCTGTCTTGAAAAAAAAGAAATGAAGGAAGGAAGGAAGGAAGAAGTGTGAATGGAAAAAAGCCTCTTCTCACAGTAAAACACCGACTTCTGGGCTGTAGATTTGATTCAGTGAACCTGTGTGGGTGAAGGCTTGGCCCTCGGACTGTGGTGCCATTGGGCAGCAGTGGGACCTTTAGGAGCAAGGCCTCATGGAAAGACCCGGCCCATCACCCTGCTTTCCTCCCACCATGAGGCAAATAGGTTGTCTGCGCCATATGTTTCTTCTTTGAGATCACATCTTATGATGGGCCCAAAGCAATGGGGCCAAGTGACCGTGGACTGTTACTTCTGAAGCCATGAGCTAAAATTAACCTTTCTTTTCAGATATTTTGTCACATAACAGAAAGCTGACTAACCTACAAGTAGTACACAGAAGCAAAGATAAAGGAAATTGCCCGTGAATGGTACAATGAAATAGGGCCCAAATATGTGTACAATAAAAATGCTACCTCTTTTCCCAACAAATGGCATAGTCGTTACCAAAAGGAAACATTCATTGATTTCATAGTGGATCAGCCAAGGAGAGTCCTCCCTAAACACACAAAGTTATCACCATGTGCCTCCTGCCACCTCACACTGAAAGTCCATGTCACTTTGGTGGTCTTCCGTCCAAAACAGGCATAATCTCAACTGAATCCTCAGGAACTGTCAGTCAAACCCAAGTGGGAAGGCTTCACATGAGATGGATGGATGTGCTGTGTGATCCTGGACCTGGAAAAAGGGTATTACTTTAAGAGGCTATCGTTGAGGCAATTGACAAAAAGTGGGCATAGGTTGTAGATTAGATATGGACTGGTTATGAGAGGGAAGGTTCTTATTCCCAGGAGACACACAGTGAAGTATGGGGGCAGAGCAGTATGTTTGCACTATGTGCTTGCGGAGGTTCTGAGAAAAAGGCAGAATGTACATGATGGAGAGAGGAACAAGAGCAAGGTAAAACACAAACGCCTGGGGAATCGAGATGAGGAGATGCCTGGCTTACTTTCCCTGTTGCTGTGGTTGATCCTGGCTCTCAGCATCAGGTTCCAGGGTATTGTTGGGAAGTCATAGCAGCAGGAAGCAGCTGGTTACATCATAGCTCTCAGTGTGCTCAGCTCACTTTCTCCATTTTATACAGAAGGATCTCAGTCCAGGGGATGGTGCCATCCACAGTGGGAGCGCCTTCCCAGTTTGATGAACCTTACAGCATGCCCAGAGACCTGCTTCCCAGGTGACTCTAGATCTCGAGTTGACAACTGAGAAGAACCATCACCTTGTTCAAAATGGGTTCTCTTCTCCTTGCCAAAACAAAAGAGAACAAACACCAAAGACAGACCTTGGAGAAACAGAGGCTTGGAGTGCTAGCTTCCAACTTATGTCTGGCTCTGCAACCACTTGAGTCTCTACCCTGTGTCACCTCCACAGAGAGGTCCTACCTGGTTACTCATCCAGCCCAGCACACCCCACCACTCCCAGGTCCCATCACCTATTTCCTTTTCACATGTATTTAATTCTCTCTCTCTCTCTCTCTCTCTCTCTCTCTCTCTCTCTCTCTCTCTCTCTCTCCTCTTCTTTCCCTCTCTCCCCCCCCCCCCCCCCCCCCTTTTTAAATATTGTTTCTTTTTTAAAGTCCAAGTGTGTTCCAGGGATCAAGGTCAGGCCCTCAGGCTTGGCGGCAAGCACCTTTACCACTGAGCCATGTCGCCAGCCCACATCACCTGTTTCCTTATTCTCCCAGCACTCTGTGTTGTAAACCATCCCTGTTTATGTATATCTGTCTCCTTGTTTAGGGTCTCCTCCCGCCAGAATGTAAACTTACTAATCGTGGAGAATGTTTCTGTCTGATGCATCCTTGAGACCGCAGGCGCCTTGTGGGTACATGAGAAACGGATGAATGAAGAACCCATTTCCCCATCTGCAGGACAAACAGCTCTAGGTTCAACAGTCAGGCTCCTTCCTGGTCTGACAATGAAGTGAGGAATCTAAAGTCGTGGATGTTTCAGTGGAGCCATGGGGACCTCTCTATGCCGCCTAGACCACACTTCTGAACTCAGTAGATTGTCCTGCCTCAGCCTCCAAGCACATGTAGGCACATGCCACTGTGCCCAGCTTGGGTCTCAGCTTTAATTCTTCCTTTCTTGTGTAGTTCTCACCTGATCCTACAGCCCTGCTGACAGCATGGAGTCCAGTTCATTCGATGAGCAGATAACTACTGAGTGCCTGTTATCTCCTGGGCACCCAGAACCCAGCGTCTGGCCCCTAAGGAGCTTGCTGGGTTAGCAGGAGCTTGGCTGAGAAAAACTAGGATTTAGAATAGTTGTCTAACTGGCCAGTGTCACACGGCAAATACACAGTTGAATTGGGAGGCTCCCTAGCTCTCTGCACTGCAAGTGATACAGTACCCCAAAGCTTCAGAGCAGAGCACTGTTCCAATCCCAGGTTCCCCTTCAGGGCTTCCACGCCCACCAGAGTCTCATGACCTCAGCCTGCATGTACCCTTCCGGCAGAGAGAGAGAGAGAATGTGCCGGATCTCAGCCCTTTCTGGTTGTGTTTCTCATTATTCCAAAGCCTCCAAGTCCCATTTCCTTTAGATAAATCAGGGGCTGCTCTGCTTCAGTGGGCAAAGGTCAAGTTCAACTCAAGAAGTAATCTAAATTGGAGATGTGATCAAATAACTTTGTCAGGAAAACAACAACAACAAAGAAAAACAAAGTAACAAAACAAAAACCCACTTCAAAAAAAAAAAAAATGTCTCCTGAAGACACTGAGCATGAAGAATTGAAACGATGTAAGGGAACAGGACATTTCTTTCAAAGATGTTTTGTTTCTCTTCAGCTCATTGATCCTGTCCCTCTCTGGAAGCTTGAAAGCTTTCTCTGCCAATTAATCGCTGCACTCATTACCAGCCCCCACCCCTTTTATATTCTTCAGCCTCCATAGCAAGGACCACAGTTAGCAAGACAAATGTTTGTCTTGGAAGATCAATTACCGCACTGGGAGGTCTGAGATTCCTGGGGTTTAGTGCATGCCTTGCCTTGGACTTGCTGGGTGACCTTCGGCTTTCTGTGCTGGGGTGTCTGAGACTGCACAAAGAGCCATGTCCTGAGATTGCCCTGAGTTTCCCGATAGAAAGTCGAAGAGGGTACTTGGCCAAGGATCTGATTTATCTATGTCCATAAATGCTTCTCTCCCTCCTTCTAGAAGCCAGATAATTATGTTAAGAATTGAAAAATGCATTCTTAACTGTGGGCATCTGAAAGACGGTCTCTACAGGAATGTGTGGCAGCGGGTGTGTGAATAAAATAGACACATTAACAAAGTTTTGTTATTCTAGAGGGAAAAAATGTCATAACTCCATTTGTTTAATGGCCACAGAGCTGAGGAGGGGGAGAGAAGAACAGGACATTATTGTTGGAAGTACTGTTCACAGATGGCTCCCCAGGGGAGCAGCTTTTCTGGTGGTATGGGGTGCCAGCATTTTCCAAGTGTGCCAACATAGTGAAACCCACCTTCCACTGAGTTTCCTTAACTGAGACTGCGAGGGGATAAACTGGCAGGAGATGCTATGAAGTTCAAGTAGGTAAGATCCTCCGACCTTAGCTGGGCAGTGATGGCACACGCCTTTAATCCCAGCACTTGGGAGGCAGAGGCAGGCAGATCTCTGTGAGTTCGAGGCCAGCCTGATCTATAGAATGAGTGCCAGGAGAGGCTCCAAAGCTACACAGAGAAACCCTGTCTCGAAAAACCAAACCAAACAACAACAAAAGATCCTCCAATCTTGGCTCAGAGATCCTAATCTCTTGATGCCACACACTACAGAAAGATACCACATCTCCCTGCTGTGGTGCTTGAGGACAAAGGGCTTGGGCATCCTGTTTCTTCTGTTATTACGGAATGCCACAGACTGGGTAATTTATAAACCAAAAGTTTGTCTCCAGGTTCCAAACTGGAAATTTCCAAGTGATGGAGGCAGCATCTGGCAAGGTGGACTGACAGTGAGCATGCCCAAGATGGAAGAGCAAGAGAGCCCGCCTCTAACATGTCCATCCTGTGCAAACAAACCAACTCCCAGACATTATTTCATCTTCAGTCCCTGTCACCTTTTAAAGGTCCCAGTTCTCAATCCTCTTACAGTGGCTAGTTACCATGAGTGAGTTTTCCATAGACACTCAGACCACAGCAGAAGGGTACCCTCTATGCATTTGAACAAATATCTCTAATCAGGCAGGGCTGTGTGTACCAATGACTCCAAAATCTGAAAGGAACACTGGCAATAGCTTTCAGCTTTCAGAAAGCGCCGTGACAGATGAGCAATGGATGTACCCAGTATGAGAAACCCAGAGAGGGTGAGCACAGAGGTAGACATTGGGGATGGTAGGCTGGGAGTAGTAACATGTGTAATCTCAGCACTCAGGAGGCTGCTGAGGCAGGAGATTGCCATGAGTGTGAGGCTAGCCTGGGCTACAGAGTAAGACCCTGTCTCAGAGAGAGAGAGAGAGAGAGAGAGAGAGAGAGAAGGGTGAATTTATAAATTCTTTGTCTGTGGGGATTTTTAATAGTCACCAAAATAAGACAGTACAGAAGGTGCCCTGCACAGGCGTCAATCACATTTTTTATGATTAGTCATGAGGGTTGCCGAGAAATTAGTTTTCTTTCCAGCACATGCAAGGAGATGACTGTTAGTTCGTGTTGCTTTTTTCCTTTCCCAGGGACAGGGTGCACCACACCAGCAGGCATTAGTTTTCTGCACCTGCTTCTCCCTCTGAGTTCAAGGTCTTTTTGACATTATACACAGTGTGTCTGAAGCACTTTGTTATAGGCTATTTGCACATCGGTGCTACCAAACAGGAAACCTACAGAGTTTTAAAAAAGGAGGGGGGACTTACAGCCAGCCCAGATGCACTGCACAACCAGGGCAGGCCCATTACACTGCAGGACTCAGGTTAATTGACTGGCCTCTTGACTGGAGCTCTGCTGTCTTGTTCTCATGGGGACTCTCATTCCCATCAAGTGGCCATCTATAAATTGCAACTGAACTCCATCTAGACTTTTTTGACCATGATTACTCTATTGCTCAGAATCCTGGATGCACTTTTTGAATCTCACAGTCTTAAGTCAAAGCAATACTCTCTCAGAGTTGGAGAGATGGTTCAGGGGTTAAGAGCACTTGCTATTCTTGCAGAAGATCCAGGTTTAGTTCCCAGCACCCACGTGGAGGATCACAACTGTCTGCAATATCAGTTCCAGGGATCCTGAGACTTTCTTCTGTCCTTGAGCATTGTGTGCACATGACACCCATATATACATGCCCACAAACATTCATACATATAAACTAAAAGAAAATAATTATAAACAAGCAAACAACAGTAAAAACCAGTATATAATGAATGAAAATTTCTTATGGGCTAGAGAGAGGGCTCAGTGGTTAAGAACACTTATTGCTCTTTCAGAGGACCTGAGTTTGGTTCCCAGAACCCATATCAGGCAGCTCATAACAACCTGCAATTCCAGCTCCAGGGGATCCAATGCCCTCTTCTGGTCTCTGAGGACACACACACACACACACACACACACACACACACACACACACACACACACACACAAGAAAGACCTTCTCCAAGTTGATAAGAACCCTACAGATCCTGAACCTAATATTCCCCAAAGCCTATTTTACAAACACTTCCCAAGACACAAAACTGGGCAGGTTTCCTTTGTCATGGGGACTGCAATGTGCTGCAACTTCCTACTTGAGTTATGCCCACAGAAATAAGGACCCAAGGCCCACAATGAGGAATTTGGGCTCACTGGATTGGTGGGTGCAGGAGGGGGTCCCTTTTGCCTTAAAAAATTGTCCAAAAGGTACATGCCTACTGGAAAAAACTTGGGAAATACCACTCTATTCAGACTCTCCCATTAACATGGTGAGTGACACTCAGATATGGAAGGTGAGAACCTGAAGTTGTCCATAGTTAATGGCCAACCCAGGCTTGGAACTCTGTGTTTTCAAACTCTGGGTTCTCTGTACTTATCGGCAGCCCCTCCCTGCTAAAGCTGGCAACGAGCTATTGGAGAGATAGCCAGGCAATAAAGCACCTAATGACCCAGGTTTTACTGTACCAGATTCTGAAGTTTATTGCACTGAAAAGATACCTGTGAAGCAGGTGACTTTGGTTCCTCCCAAGTGAACTTCCCTATCCACTGGGGAAGAGAGGGCACAGCTCTGGCTTCTTTCCCACAAGGCATCTTTGAAAAGTAGGGGAGCAGAAGTGAGTGTGTGTGGGGGGAGAGAACATAACTGAGGTGCAGCCTCGAGTTTGAATCCAGCTCTACCACAAGCTCTTGACAGCAAAAGTTTCCCAGTGTATGAAAAAGGGATGATAACTGTAATATATATATCCTTGGCATCGCATACTTCAAGGGCTTTCTGTCATGTTCCATTCGTGGACAACATTGGGGAGTAAATACAGTGCTCTCTGACTTAGAGAGAAGCTTTCCAGTGATGCAGTGAGGCTCCAGTGATGCAGTGAAGCTCGTTCTCATAGCCCTGGGCAGGGCTGAGAAGACAACTTTAATGAGAATTAAGGCCAAGAGCAGGTATAGAGATGAGCAGATTATTGTTTTTTTTCAAGACATGGTTTCTCTGTGTAGCTTTGGAACCTGTCCTGGAACTCGCTATGTAAACCAGGCTGGCCTCGAACTCACAGAGATCCACCTGCCTCTGCCTCCTGAGTGCTGAAATTAAAGGTGTGCGCCACCACACCCAGCAGAACATGTTATTTTAACAAGGACTTTTTAACTTTTTCATTAATAATCAAAACAACAATAATCTCTCTTTATCTATCTATCTATCTATCTATCTATCTATCTATCTATCTATCTATCTATCTGAGACAGAGTCTCACTATGTACCTCTGACTGTCCTGGAATTCACTATATAGACCAGGCTGGCCTGGAACTCACA